GGCACATACCGGGTGACATGTTTGGAAACGTATCTCCAGACAGTCGGGGTTCGACTCCCCTGTTCGACATATTTGGTGTGTGATTAAAATTTTTTGGATGGCACAGGTAAGTGGAGTTATATTAATTTTAAAATTGGAATCAAATAACAAGTCAGTTCAGATCTTCATAATGTACGTGCCAGCTTCATGCAATTACTGACAATCCAACCCGTCCCACAGGTGGTTTTATTCCAGTCTGGAAAAGACCATTCGCAGTTGGACGTGGCGCGACACAAGAAGTTGCGAGACGCGTCGGGGCACCGCCACTCAGATGCCTTCATCTCGGTGGCGGTGATTAGATTCACGTGATTTGAGAATCATGTGAAACCAACTGGTCGCTTCCGTCGTTGCAGCCCGAGTTACAAGATATAACCGCTAGGAGAGAAACTTCTATGAGCAGCCTCCCGTCCTATTCCCTCTGGACGGACAACTTGGACCGCCAGAATTGCCTCAAGTTTTCTTGACCCATATACTGGTTGTGTGTTTTTGCACTGAAGACTCTGGCTTCAACAACACTGTGGGTAGAGCTTTTGGGTGTGCAGGCCCCTCCAAAGCCCAAAAAGGAAACCTGGTCGGTTTTGATTCATTTTCGTTCATTTTTGATTCGTTCTCCCGCATTCTTTGTCTGGCATGCCCTATTTCCCTATTTCTCTCCATTCCTCATGTATCACAAAGTTCCGTTTCACTACGCCTGGACCTCAGTGGAGAAGGAAACCAGTCACTTTCATCGTTGCAGCCCAGAATTTCTAGGCGAGTTACAAGATATAACCGCTAGGAGAGAAACTTCTATGAGCAGCCTCCTGTCCTATTCCCTCTGGAAGGATGACTTACACCTTCTTTTAAGGTCTAGTATCAATTTGGTGCCGACAAGCCAAGCTTACTTCCCCCAGTAAGTCTTGAGCTTACAACGGGCGCAATTTAACATTTCCGGACAACAGCGCCCCCTGTAAACCGCTTTCTACAAATGCTTCTTGACACCGCTCAATAAAACCTTACTCCATGACGTGCCAAATATGTGTTGAGCGTCCTCCGCGCCTTGCAGAACCTGAATTGTGATTTGAGCCTGGTGACCATCAGGTTCTTGGATGTGCCTCTCACCGCCCATGCTCCGCACTTGTCGCTGGTCCTTCAGGATTTCCTTGCTGATGACTCTTTGTACAAGCCTGAGGGCGGTTACATGATGACCCACACTGCAGCGCTTGCCGAGATGATTCTTTCACCGGATCATAGACATTCTCAGGAACGTCTCCCAGCGTTCGTCAACATCCTTGCTACACCAAGCAGAATTGCCAGGTGCAAACCCAACTATGTGACGGGCCTCTCTGATTTGGGGATCTTCCATATCATTTCCATGAGGGAGGTGATTGAAGACAGCGACCTACCCACCCTTTCACAACAGTTTAAACAACCTCTCGGTGCCCTAAAGAAAGAGCCATACATCTTGACCCTGATCACGCCCAGTGGATATCTTACCCCTCCTCATGTCAATGCAATGTCATTCTGCCAACTGCACACCCACTTTCATGGACAGAAATTGTGGATGTGCTGGCCCCCAACCCCCCACAACCTTGAGTGGTTGAGGACACACTATCCCAAGGGAGCCGACGAGGGCACATTGCTTTTGGCCATTGCGCATTTGGAAAACCTGGAAATATTTCACCTAGATGAAACTGTTTGTTCATTCCTGGTGCCTCCGCTAACCATCCACGCCGTCGTATCGCTCACTACCTGCACCCATTTTGGAATCACGGTTTGCATGGAGAAATTCTGGAACACTTCACAACGTCACTTTGACTAGCTGGACAAATGCGTGGAGGACGTATCCACTGTGGGATCAGAGCATGTTTCATTCATGCTGGATAGTGCAGTGGAGGAGTTAAGAGTTTGGAAGGGTGTTTTGAAAGATGGGCCCCGAAAACAGGTCACAAGTGTGATGCGACAGAAGTTTGCAGAAGAGTGCATGCGCCTTTCCAAGATATCTGTAGTTGAAGACTAAAAATTGGAATTATTATTTCATGTTGCTTTCCCAAGCCGTTAACAGTGTCGTTGATGTCCCTGTTGCTTCCCCGAATCATGGATTCCTCTGACTAAGAGGAGAGATTGCTCCACATGGCAAGTGTGCAATAATATGAATTTGATCTAATTTGCCAGTACCGACTTCGCTTTGTAGGCTGGCAGTTGGCCATGGTGGGCATTGGGCCCGAGAATACAGGTTGTCGCACCGTGCAATTGAGCACCTGGCCCCATCGCTGTGCTTACGAGACGTGTCGGGGTACTGCCACCGAGATGACGGCACCTGAGTGGCGGTGATTAGAGTCACGTGATTTGAGAATCATACATCCGGCCGATAAGAGTCTACTCCCCTCAACTCAAACTCAAAACCACGCCTTTTGATACATGGATATTACCTTGTAGCTCATAGGTTTCAAGTTGTATAGTGACCCCCATTGTATTCTTTTGGAGAAACCTTTGCAAAACCTTGTGAAGGGTCGCAAGGAGAGGTACAAAGATCTACCCCTGCAATACCTCTGGCAAGGTAAGGTATGACCTCCTACAGGGGTAAGGGTTTGAGAGGTAGAGGTAGAGGTTCACTGATTCATACCTCTACCTCTACCCCTGGTGGACCCTAGAAGGTTGTGGTGATCAATCAACTGGACAAGGGTACAAAGGAGCAGCTGTACGCCGGCATCATTGAGTGTTATCCACACAAGCTCACCTGCCGCACAGGCCAGAAGGTCACACACAAGAGTTGGGCTCAACAGCAGTGCTGCAGTCGACACTCATGCAGCGGGAGAACGCAAAGAAGACAATCAAAAGGTTGGATGCTACACTGCAGGCAAGAACAGGTGGTTCTTCACTCTTCTGCAGGTAATTTTCTCTCCCGCTTTTTCCTCTCCTACCTTAGTTTTGTTTTGTTCTTAGGTGTTCTTGATTCCTTCATAGTCGCCTTTCCTCTAGGATGAGTTCACAATGCCAGGCCTGGCTTCGTGAATGCTGCAAACAGAGGTGGTTTTTCCAAAGCCCAAAAAGGAAACCTCCTCAGTTTTGATTCGCTCTCAGGCACCCTTCCTCCGGCATGTGCTATCTCTCTTCCCAGAGGATATTCCAATCCTCCAGCATGTACTATTTTTCTTGTAAATTTACTTGCCACAGGAGAAAGCACGAAAATCACAGAAACACACAGAAAGCTAGCATGATACACTTCTTGCATTTTCGGAATAAGAGGTCCAGAGGTACCGTCATTCCATCCTAAGTAGAGAACCATGAAGGCCAAAGGGAGAACTTTGGAGTTAGCGGTGGCTTACCTGCAAGTAGCATGGATCTTGTCCAACATCTAGTTCAGTCCAATGACCATGTAGATGAAATACATACCCATAGATTGCACAAAGTTGCATTCTCGCATGAAAGACATGGTCCTTAGGAGAAGTCACTTCACCAGAGGTTGATACTTCCTCAGGCATGACTTGGGGAGGATGCTCCTGCCTAGGTAGTGGCCCAAGTTCCATTTCAAAAACGAGAATAACGCCGGCGTTGATGGGCAATGGTTTGGGCTAAATTGCTTACATATTCCAGACCGACCAGTCCGTCGGTCTGGATCCAAGTTACTTGAAAGTGTCGGTGCACCCACGTCTGCAGGAACTTGTCATTCAAGTTGAAGTTGAGTATTTTGCTGCAGGTGGCGAACTGCAGCTGTGCCAACTTCTTTGATTCAGGTTGGATCATTGTTTTTGATTGGTTCTGCTTTGTTCAACCTCAGACTGGCTTCTGGTAAATACCAAAATCTCACTCACTCGACTGAAAAAGTCGTTATTTGCGAACAGAGAGTGGCTTGAATCTGCTCAGTGGCACTTAGACTCTGGTGGTGGCGACTCGCCGTCGTAGATCATTTTTGATTTGTTCTTCATACTGCTTTCTACGCTCCTCAGTGTCTTTCACAACAACGTACAAGTGTGTCAGCAGATACCACTTGCTCCTAGTCACCAGTTATTTGCTGCCAAAAGCCAAAAAAGGAAACTTCACCAGTTTTGATTCGTTTTTGTTCGTTTTTGATTCATTCTTCTTCTGGCATGCCGTATTTCTCTTCACAGAGAGTTACAAGACACGGGGCACCGCCACCCTGAGTGGCGGTGATTCAAGTCACATGATTTTAGAATCATGTGAAACCATAACAAGGAATCATGCATCCGAGTCTACTCCACTCAACTCAAAACCCCCTCTCACCATGTACTAGCTCGCTGTGTCAAAAAGTAACTGGAAATTGGGTTGCACAGCAGCCAAAAGCGCATATTATGATCTCTCATGTACATATTATTAGTGTAGTATCAATTTGGTGCAGGATATTACCTTGTAGCTCATAGGTTTCAAGTGGCATGTGCTATTTCTCTTCATAGAGGAGATTCCAATCTCCCGACATGTACTATTCCTCTTCCCAGAGGAGATTCCGGCACTCTGGTGGTGGCGACTCGCCGTCATAGATCATTTTTGATTTGTTCTTCATACTGCTTTCTACGCTCCTCAGCATCTTTCGCAACAACATACAAGTGTGTCAGCAGATACTACTTGCTCCTGGTCACCAGTTATTTGCTGCCAAAAGCCAAAAAAAGAAACTTCAACAGTTTTGATTTGTTTTTGTTTGTTTTTGATTTGTTCTTTGTTCGTTTTTGATTTGTTCTTCTTCTGGCATGCCCTATGTCTCTTCACAGAGAACATTCTATGGCACGATGGCCGAGGGGTTAAGGCGTGGGACTCAAGCGTAACAGCTTGCCTGTCTAGGGTTTCTCATCACGTAATGTGGCGTGGGTTCGAATCCCACTCGTGTCAACCTTTTGCTTATCCACTGCCTTTTTAAAACTCTTACTAGGCGGCCAGTCTCAAACACCGTGTTCTGGTGCTGTTGAGACTTGGTCTCCCAACCGCCTCAAGATAGCTTTTGCTACTGTGCTCGCCAGATCTTATGGGTGGGCATTCGATGGCCGAGGGGTTAAGGCGTGGGACTCAAGCGTAACAGCTTGCCTGTCTAGGGTTTCTCATCACGTAATGTGGCGCCGGCGTGGGTTCGAATCCCACTCTTGTCAGTGTTTTGCATGTCCACCACCTTTTTGAACGGCCCTCTCCTTTCGAACCCGAAACTCCTGAAGGTGTTCGGTGCGTTCGTGGAAGCCACGGGTCGCTTCGACTGAGGTCCGCATGTTTCCGTTTCCTTTATTTTCTCCATCATTTTCCTCCTCTCTCCCCTTACCTTACACTACGTAGAATTACAATCAGACTCAATCACCCGTCATACACAGACTTGGAACCCTCATACACCGTCCAATACACCTTACATCCCCTCACATATTCACCATCTGGACACCCATTTCCCATCTCACATATCATTTCTCTTTACTTATAAAAAAACGACGACGACAGAACCACAAACACAAACCTTACATACATATTACTTGTACTGCTACCGTAGCTTACCCTGGCCCACATGTAGCAAAATATTTGAAATATCATCATCACCTTTTTGAACTCTTACAAGAGCCTGGTCGGCCCTCTCGGACACCAGGTCCTGCTGCTGCTAAGCCTTGGTCTCCCAACCTCGTCAAGATAATTTTTGCTAATGTGCTTGCCAAATTTCACGTGTAACCCATCAAAGGGACTGTCCCCACACTGGTACAGCACCCAGGAGGGTGCCATCCTGCTTCAATCTGCAGAGCCCTGCGAACTCGGCTAACAGATTTTGAATAGCTTCAAATAACAATCAAGAGTACACTTGACGGCCCACCACCTCAATGAGGAAGTGGACTCAGCGCTCAGCACTTGTCGGTTGCGTGTTAAACAGTAGGGCAAGTCGTCCCTAGATATGCAGCGCGATGGCTGCCACCATTTCAGTTTCACGTTACAGTGCGATTCAAAGTTCGAACACAATTTCAACGTTTTCTGAATCGAAGACCGCGTTAATACACAGAAGATAACAGTCCTCTTCTCCCAGTATTCACCTGTGGGTTTGAATTCCGGCACCACCCTTTGGATGGAAGCATCGGTTGTGCTAATGCATGTTGCAGGCTTGCGTGGCGTTGTACATTATTTTGTTAAATACAAAGAAAAGTCCGTCTTCCGTGCGTGAACGCACACCGCGAGCTCGCAAGAGCGGACACACCATCAGACGCGCTCTCCTCTACTTGCCAATAAAGTGGCTCTGCGCGTTGTGCCATATCGAGTTGAGTACAAATGCCTCGCTAAGGAGCATCTCGATCTCGTGGTCGCCCCATTCCTGAGTCGGGAGGGACTGTAGAAACATGATGATGCCCTGTGAACAAGTTAGTTCTTGGGAAAACAAGGACGCGGTTTAGAAAGTGCCGCACCTGAAAGTCCATCTGACGCAGTTTATCGCTCCATTTTACAAGGAACGCAGAGCAGACGTAGAGGTGGAACTGCGAAAATGCGTCGGGTCCCTCCGCCTGCAGGTCGTCAAAACATGAAAGATGAAATAAAATAAGCAAGTCGCACCAGATACGTGTCCCACATGCGAATAGTATTCTGCACACTAATCTCGCGCATGAGAAGGCAGTTCATCCAACGGAACGCAAACTGCATAAACTCGACGTTCTGCGCGTCGAGGTGCCCCGCGAGAGGCTTGTCGATGCGCGCGACGAGCTCCGCCATGCGGCGCACACTGCGCTGGATGCCCGGCTGCGCAAAGATGTAGTTGTCTTGTATGCCGTCCAGCAGGCGGCTCAGACACCAGAATGCGTCTGCCTCGACCGCGTCGAGCGCGCGCGGCGGGAGGGCCGCGGGATCAAATGCCTCGGGGTCTGAGTCGATGTACGCGGAGAGGAAGACCTGGAAGAAGGGCGTCGCGAGGTCGTTAATGCCTTGCACGTAGCCGCTGGCGGGATGCCGGATCGCCCAGACATATAGGATGCGCTCGAGCGCGCGTTGCGTGGCGGCGTGCATCCAGAGCTGGACGCCCGGTCGCGTGCGGGGGACGTCGATCTCGATCTGATGCCAGATCTGCTGGTCGAGGCCCTCGCGGTCGCGCGCAAAGGCGAGCTGGACGAGGGAGAGGTATTCGCCGCGCTTGCGAGCGAGGGTAGACGCGCGGAGAGGTGTTGGCAGTGGAAGATATCCCTGCGCAAATTAAGGATGATTGCGGCCGCGAAAACAGAAGGCTCACGAGCAGGAGCTGCCACGCCATTGGACGCAAGTCGGCGGGGATGCCTGCCCATGCGAGCTTGCGGAGTTCAGCTGCAAATAAATTTATATATAGATCCAGGTAAAAAAAATGAGTGGTCCATACCAATATTGACGTCCTGACTGGACAGACACTCGACAAATTTATGGCGGCGGTTGGTGCGAATGGAGCGTTCCCGCATCAGTTTCTCGGAGCGCTCCGCGCTCTCAGGTGAAGTTGGAGGAGTAGACCGCCGCGGTGACGGATCTGTACGGCGGGGGCGATGCCTAACGGCTACAAGAGGGTCGTCTACGATATCGTTGACGTCTTCGCGAACGATGCCTTGGTCAGAGCCGCCCTTCTGAGCCGGGGGAATAATATCCATGGGTTCCATTTGATCAGGCTCCAGATCGCCAAGGATCATGTCCCCCTCGACGTCAGCGTCCACTGGAGGTTCATCGCGGGTGTCTTCCGGCGGCGGGGTCGACGCGGGTTTGGTTTTGACAATGGTCCACCCGTTTTGCGGGGGTTTTTCGCGGGGGGGATAGGAGGAAGGATCCGGTGCAGACACATGGGTGTAGGAGAATGCAAGGGTCGAGGAAGACGAGTGCTGTGACGGACGAACGGGAACCGGGACACGCGAGGAGGATGCCTTGGAGGACTCTGCCTTTGGGGGCTCGTCGTCGTCACTGGCACTGTCCCAGGCGTCGTCCTCGACCCAATCTGTGCGGGCGCTGTATGTGGAAGGGTTAAGCGCAATGTGAGGCCGTGCTGGTGGTGGGCGGGCACTCATAACGGTGCGTGGGAATTTCCATTTTCTTCCTTCAAACTCTCATGTGAAATCTGCCCGCGAAAAAAACTGCGAGGAATAGAGCAGGAACTAGGTAATTTTACGTGCTCTACTGGTCTCAAATCCAGAGGATATTGCATTCGAACTGTAGGATTACACAATAATTTGGCTTTTGCGAAGACTACTTGGTCTCGTGTCCCATTTTTACTGGCCAACATTGGGCTGGGTATGGAGTCTACTCTGCCTCTTTCGCTGGATTACAGACGCGGTGCAACGAATGCAGACGTACGGACAAAAACATCGAATCGACTCCTCAACGCTGGTCCTTGACCTCCTCGCCATCATTTTCGCCTGCTCGTCGCATTTGCTTATATCTGGGAGCGGCTGACGCTGCGGTTTGCGGTAAAATCCTGCGACAAAAAATGCGGACGAAATTTTATGCTGTTCCACGACAGAAGATGAGGATTATCGCTCGCTGGGACAGCTTGGATTCCATGAAAGATCCGACGTGGATTCTGAGCCGCCCGACTTGTTTAACCCCTCCTGCGGCTACGTAGCCGCCGTCGTGCTGTCAGGCATAATCGACGTTGTTCCTCATGATCCTAGCCCAGGAGCTCAGGGAATTTGCGGTCGACTTTGATGCTCTGTCTCGTTTCAGCCAACCTATCACTAGAAGGAGCGGCGGGACCGATGAGGTCCGAAGGTTGTTTTGCGCTTGAACCAACCACTGGACTGGCGCGACGTACTTACCCTCTTGCGCAAGAAAGACCGGATCGCTGGTGCTTCCACCCGGAGCCATGAAGTATTAAATTATGCGCGTTGGACATCTGGTACGCACGGATTTGAAACTGCGCATTGACGTCCCGCGGGCGCAGTGATACGTACGCGCTGCGATACAACAACCTGGCGCTACCAGCTGCGCTACCAACCGTCGGCAGCCGGCTGACTAAAACCTATTACGTGTCGATAACTGCTAGCAGCGGCTGCCAATTGCGCTTGCGCCGCCGACTCCGACATTGTGAAAGGCAACCGTCCTTCGCCATGCTCAATCACCACCTCACTAGTTTTTGAACCATCCCAACCTCCCTCCGACCCATCATATTCTCCATGGCGCCGTTGAATGTTCTGTCGATCGGTGCGTCTCGCAATATCGGATACTTCGCCGCCATTCGCCTCCTCGGTTAGTTCTTCCATGAATAATTCTCATCAAAGCTTGCTGAAGTACTGTATATTAGAACAAGGCTCCACTGGGACATTCCTTCTCCGGTCACTCTCAGCGACGCGACCATTCAGAAATATGTCAAGTCCAGCCATGCACGAGTGGTGACAGGCGATGCCAGCATCAAAGCAGACACCCAATGTGCTTGGGATGAGGCCGGCGTGGTAGACGCCCTCATCTTCACTGTCGGTATGTTGTTATCTCTTGAACCGTCCCACTCGTCCGGCTACGGAGGCGAGCCCTGCCTGGAGATGGAGTGTTGGGGAATTAGGATTACCGAGCAGTATTGTCCCGCCGGAAACATCAGCTTGGGAGTTGCGGCCAGTGGTGGAATAACGGATACTTGGGACTCATATACAAGTTGTTCCCTGTCTTGGTTTCTTCCAGACCGAAAGGAAAACACACCTTCCTGTGATATCCAAGAATTCCTTCAACACGCGCAAACTCGAGCAGTGGTGAGTCATTCGCCTTCTGCTTTGCGCTTGGCGAGATCATTTTTGATACAAAAGGAGGATAACCAATTTTATACTGGCCAAACATGTGAAACACATTGAGAACCAATTTACAATGCCTTTTGAACAGTTGCTGGTTCAATATATTCAAAACTGTGACTCAGATACCTTCTGTATGATGTTGGGTATGCAGAACATATTTTGAACACATTTTACATGGTATTCTGTCAAAAATATAAAGCACATTGTAAATTGGTTCTCAATGTGTTTTTCATGTTTTGCTGGTAAAGAATTGGTTATCCTCCCTGTGATATTGGAGCCTACTAAAATCTGTGCCTTAAACACTTGGCAAACACTCGAAACTGTGCATTAACATCCTGTCGTTGGATTCCTGTACGGGCTAGCCGGTCCGGTGAAAGCCGTTCACCGGCAGGCGACACATAATGGTGCTGAGT